CTGCTGCAAAATTTGAATGGTTATATACTGTGGTCTTTTTGACCGATTGGATCCTTTGGATCCTTGACCGGTTTGGCCAACAGAGCTTAACACAAACCTACCTATTCAAAGAGATCCTGGGGGGTGGAGAAGAGAAGATTACAATTCATTATTGGAAAAAAATTATGAGAAGCCGCTAATTAACCAAGCTAGATTAGCATTTGTGGGTGGTCATTATGAGCTTGTTCACATCTGCTTGCTTAAGAGGCTTCAACATGAACATCTCTGCCCCTTCCTTCAAGCACCTGCTCAATTAGTGTCAATTAATTAATTACTCCATTGATCTGATAACGTAATTAAAAAAACTACCCAACCCGAAATTAGAAGCTTACTGGTTGACCCGGGTCGGGATATTCTCAGATGACATAACCACAACCGGGACTTCCTTCAACACCTTCGATTCCTTAATCCTCTTGAGGAGCTGATACCCTGTCATCCCCGGCATACAGTAATCAGTGATTATCAAATCCACCTGCTTCTGCTGCTGCTGCTGCTGCAGTTTGAAGATCAACAAGCAAGACGTTATTAGTCATAATTAACTAGTGATTATTGAGTAGATAAAGTGATTAGAAATGACAAAAATTGATATTAACAGAGTAAGTTCTTACTATGATGGCTGCATTAGTGGTAGTAATAGTAGAGTGGTCTTGCTGCTGATCATCCAGCCCCAAATACTCCAATGCCTTCATCCCATTCTCAGCCGTTGTAACTGATGAAATCCCATTTTTAGCCACACCACCAAAATCATTAATAAAAATGATTAAGCACAAAAACAGATTCCATTAAGAAATATGAATATTTCTCATTTTATATAATTAGTATATATAAAGGGTGGTGAAGGGTTTAGTGGGATACGATCGGGTTCACCGTAAGACTCCTACACTTTAGAAGAAGTTTAGTAGTATCCATAAGGTATTTGGTAGAATAAGTCGAAAGGTAAGTACTAGGTGACAGTAAAAAAAAATGTGGGTTAAAGAAAAAAAAATTATTTTTAAGATAAGTCCTAACAAATTATATGATTTCTTTAACAAGTCTGGTAATATAAATAGCGAATAAAAAAGTATGGTGAGATTTTGTACTCCTTTTTTTTTTCATTTTAATGGAAGAGAATAACATCAATAGGAATTTACCGGTGCAAGAAGTGGAGACGTTCTTAAGGAGGCGTTCGAGGAGCTTCCGTTCGATGAGGTTGTCATCCACCGCCAAAACATGTACCGGCGCCGCCGCCGCCGCCGCCGCCGCATTACTATTTTTACTTTCACGAGCATTCATTGAGTTTCCCGTGCATCCGCCGCCACCGCCGGCTAGTCCGCCCATGGTAAATAATTTGCGTCTGCCGGTGAATAGTTATCTACGTATTTTGGTGGTAGAAAAGATTGATCGGCGGAGGATGGGATGGAGGTGAAAAAGAGGCAACTGGCGATACGGAATTTGCATTTCTCATTGTGTGTGTGTGTGCGTATATATAGAGAGAGATAGGTAGACGAAGAGATGGAAGAGAGAGAGAGATCTTCGGGTTTCTTTAGTTTGATTGAAACTCCGTAATAATAATAATAACAGCTGCAGAGACCTAAAAAAAGGTTTGTTAAATTGTTATGCGAAATAATATCACATCACAACCAAAATATTTTCGTGATATTCGTTTTGCGAGATAGATATAATAATGAATAATGAGCAGCAAGCAGAGTAGATCCACTCACCATTTTAATTTCGGCGGAAAAATAAGAGGGAGATATTCTTCGATCATGATCCTTTTATTCTTTTTTTTTTTTGTTGCTATTATTTCTATTTTCCCTCCTCTTCTAGAATCTGAAATTCAGGCACTTCAAAAATAAATAAATAAATAAATATTCAGTCAGGAACTCATGAACGATTCATGGGCTGTTCAGAAAGAGTCATGGGCTCCTACAATTCGTACACGGAGAAAATTAATCAACTTAATTTGTGATGGAATCAAAGTCCATTTACTCACGTTAGAAGTTTTTATTTTTTTTATTTTATGTGACAACTTATATCGACTTATACATCAACTAGTCTAGATATCTAGTCTGTCATTCGAGAAATATGATGTACTCACTTTTGTTTTCATAATAATTAACTAAACTGATTGGTCAATTTGAATCGAAGGAATAACTCGTCATTCTTGACAACGGATAATAACTCCCAAAGTGCCGCGGAAGAAATGAGTCAGAAAGGTGAGCAAATTCGTTAGGATAAAATCGATTTAACGCGTATTATTTCCTTCTTTTCAAAAGCAATAACAAACTCATTCTCCGGACTAAGATAGGTCATACAAGTCAACAATCTAGCATTCACATCATAAAAAGCGGTGGTTCAACTCTTGCAGCTGCATATCAAGAACCGAGTAAAACAATTCAACTTGATAGTGATGCAAGTTCCGTCAAATATCAAAAGGGTGGAGAATTGAGAATTTAGTTCTCAGTTTTATTTGGCGAAATTATAGTTCAATTAGACCTTGTTTTGGATTATTAATTACATTTACGGTTTAAAACAGAACATTAAATTTTATGTAATGTAATCTATAACATTTTTTCTAATAATTATGGTGTTATGTGTTCGAATCACAAAGACTATCAATCTATTTTTGTTTCATGGATGTACCGGACACCCCTAAAAAAAATAATAGGTTCGCCTGCACTCTCGATTCGAACTACGTACTACATGAGAAGCGTTTATGACAAATTTTAAGGGAGTCACAAAACACCCGTAAAATGCCATTGGTCCAACCCTGGGTTTGTTTAGTAGCTTCCTGTAGGTTGGAGTCGTGTACTATCTCACTAAAAATCTCACGATGATCACACCTCCTCGTATACCTAACAAATCCAATGGAAAAAAGGGTCGTCGATGTCCATATATAGCACTCTTTTCTATTTGGATTTTTTTGGCCTAACAAAATATCACCATGTATCAATATATATGATCGTATATATTGATGTATCTTTAGTTCCCATCAATCACCATCTAAAAAGATTATGCAAATATCAACATGACCAACGAATTAGTTTTGGTATCTTTTGATCTTCTTGAACCAAAATGGCCAAATATCCCTACTCAATTGTTGTATATGTGCAATTGCGTGATATTGACGGTATCTATATATGTATTTCTATCAAACCTTTCTTTGGGTTCTCACTACACGGCACCCAATATGAATCTCCTAAGGAAAGGAATATATAGGTGTTGGATTGAGAATGTCCACTCGGAAACCGTATTTTCCTGAAAATGCTACAAAATACAAGATGTATTGCAATCTTGTTATACCTTACAACTCTCTTTATTTAGCTACGATTTAATGTCAGTGCCCCTTCTTTCAAACAATTGCCTAATTGGGGTTCATTAGGTTGCGTTTTAAATTGTTCTTTCATGTACGAAAATCAATATTATATACACTTTTTTTTTTTTGTTAATTGCATTTCATAATGAGGTAGATATATTGTGCATGGGTATTACTGTTTGTGTCTAACTGAATGTAGGAGTGAGACACAAGAAGAATGGGGTGCGAGTGAAGGTAGAAGAATTTCCGCTCTTATCATTTAACCTTTTCTGAGATAACAAGGGAGAAGGCTCGAGAGAGAGCTTAGAATCGATTTTAGAGAGAGAAGTTTCTTGTTTTCTATGGAGAGAATTCAGAAATCGATCCCCCCACCCACTGGGGTAAATGCTCTATTTATAGGCTACCTTCCGGTGGGTGGGTTTCCAAGGTGACATGACATTTGGAAGAGACAGAAGGTTAGAGTATGATGAGGTTTATAAGTAAGACGTGACATCTTTGTCAGTAATACGGTGTCGTCTCTACTCTTTATGCGCGGGTAGTGCTGTCGCGCGGATGCCTCTCTTGGTGATCGGCGCGGTCAGCCATGTCCGTCTGGGGAGATGATGTTCTCCGCGTCGCGTCGCGCCGCTTTCTGGCGCGCCTTCTTTGGGTACTCGCAGAATGATGGTTTCCGCGAGTTAGAGTGTTTGAGCCGATCTTTCCCTTAGCCTTTTCTTGTCTTTCTCAGGATGGTGAGCATGTGCCCGTTGAAGCGGATGGACCCGAGTCATGCTCCCAACAATTACCACCTTAGTCATGTTCATTACGAAATGAGTGTCAGCGTTGAGATGCCCATCTTGATGCATTCATTGTGATTGTAACTTTTCAATTGAGGGTGAGCTGATTTGAATTATAAAAACTATAAAATCTTTGGATACTCACCCAACAATATCTTGGAAGTAAGGGTAGCAGTTGGTGGTTGATCCGCGGTTTGACATCAATTTACCAACAAATAACATAAACCATATAGAATTCTCATAAGCTCAACTCTAGAGACAATTCACACCTCTATGATTAACCTCGAATTGGATTGAGCCCCCAGGGTCTAATGTTGTTCTCTCTAGGGGTGGAAATCAGTACGGTATCGGTATCCCAATACCAAATACTGAAATTCCGAATATATTCTACACCCTAAAATCAATCCCAATCCCAATCTCTAAATAATTTCGGTATCCCAATCTCAATCCCTAAATAATTCGGTATCCCAATCGGTATTATCGAATACGAAATTAATTACTTTTGTAATTAATAATTAAATATATAAATTAGATTTGATTGTTTAATATAGGGTAAAGAAACTGAGCAAAGAGTTTTGAATTTTCCTTGAGCTAGGATATCGATAAGGAGAATGGTGGAGAGGTGACATCTCAACTTCTTTCATTGGTAATCTTTAATTTGACGAATCGGAGGATGAGAGATGACTAATACTAGTGTATGCTTTTTGGTGTTATGAAAATAACAAGAGATTAGGTGAGAGACGAGAGTGGCTTAAATTGGAAAGTCAAAATTGAGTTGGATGATAACTTCTCTAAGTTGCGAAGTAGTGATGGAATGATCTATGTATAACTAAATGACACTCTTGATGGTTGAGGGTTGTGTGTAGTAGTGAATGAGAGAGTCTAGTTGAGAGGATAAAATATGCACTAACTTTATTTCGGTATTGTTCGGTATTTCGATATATACCGATCCCAATCTCAAAATCCCTAATACCGAATAACAATTGAAATTGAATCTTAATCCCAATCCCAAGAAATAATACGTGTATTCTTTTTTTTTTTTTTTTGACAAAAGATAATCAATAGATTGAACCAAATAGATCATTACATCCTGGAATACAGCCAGGCCTGGAAATCAAAAGATCGACATGCAGTCGGGAACAAAGACAGGGCCTGTCTAGCTACCAAATGAGCTACCCTATTGTTTCTTCGACCTACAAATCGCACAGAGAACCCTAAGTTTGACGCAAACGAATTGACTATCTCCTCCAGAATTGCCCCGATGTGGTTGTCCCGAACATCTTTCCGGAGAACCTTCTCAATAATCACCTGGGCATCACCTTCAAACCGCACAATAGTTAACCCATTTGCCAAACACCAGCCAATCGCCTCTCGGAGAGCCAGAGCTTCCACCATCAAAGGGTCAGTAAGGAACGGGAGGTGAATCCCCTTGGCAAGGATGACTGCCCTGGCCGAGTTAAGGACAACCATCCCCCCCGCCGCATGAGACCCTCTTCGCACAGCCCCATCCCACATACCAAATATAGACAAATTCGGTACGATATTCGATATTTTCCCAAATACTGGTACCAAACTTCCAGCCCTAGTTCTCTCTATCTATCTATCTATCTATCAAAGCCCCTCCTACCTATCTTTTGCTCCTCAGCTACCAAATTCTGCAGAATCCGAAGATGAATCTGTACAACTGAGTCTCAAAGCTGATTTAAAGATGGTGTCCATTCCAGTACTTCAACAACGTTCAGCAAGTGATACAGGGTCGATGAAGCCGCTCATGTAACAATGCAAGCTCCTTTTTTATTTCTTCGACTCTTTCGAAGAAGATGAAACGACGCCAGTTATTCCATATCCGTGTCAGAATTGCACGTGACAAGTCTTATTCTGGAATCAGAGAATTGAGATAACAACTTCTGGTGTGGCTCCCATTTCCATCCACCACCACCATCATTCAACTTTCACCCATTGCGCTAACACGCAACATTTAACCGTTCATACTCGGCTCGGCCAAAAGAACACAGAAGAGCTCCTTTCAATTTCCTGAACACAGCAATGTCAAAACCATAGTATTGTCATCTGAAATTTTCTACATTTACGGTTCATGCATCGACAACCACCTTAACCGACAACCACCTTAACGCAGTAATGAACCTATATATAATGCTCTTCGTTCATCAATCTGCTGGTTAGCTTCGATCATTTGATGGTTGCCCTTGGGATGGATGATGTGCAAGGCCCACCAGAAGTCATGAAAGGTATGCCCTTGAACGTGGCTACACCCTTGTCATCAGTGAAAAGATTCTGCATTTCCATCAAAACCACCCATCACCATATCAGAGATATTGCTTCTTACACGAGGTTTCTCATTAAAACTTGACAGAAACTCTACACAATAATTGCAAGATACAATGACCGAGAAAACTGATTGAAGGGTATGACTACCCAGTTCTCCCCCCCATCAATAGGATCTCGATCCATATCACCTCCTTTTAAGGTAACACACTGACACAACATGAGACAATGAATGCCAGAACCCCACTTGAGAAACCCTACTGTGCTTCATATCATCTTCATATCTGTAAATTAAAGTTTCAATCCAGCAGTTACGGGTCCGTCATGGAACCCATATCCTATTTGGTTATGCACAGAAGAGACCAACTAATGACCAGTTCATTTTGCAGCTTAGTCCGAGTTTTAGAAACCATGATTATAGCAAGACATCAAAAGCAAGAATGGTAATTGAAAAACATGTGCACATAAGATACTCGTAGAAAAAGGGGCGAACTTGATAAACATTTCTTTTTTTATTTATTTCGGGCATATTTGGTGCAACCTGGTAAAGGAAAACATTCATGTACACATATGATACTCGTAGAAAAGGCCCGAACTTGATAAACATTCTTTTATTTATTTATTTCGGGCATATTTGGTGCAACCTGGCAAAGGAAAACATTCATGGAGCGTGAACAGCAGATTGGATGGCTAACATCTGCTCCTACTTCAGATACTCCTGCTATTGATGGCTAACCTTCAGCCCCCTTCTCTTTTGTGTAAAATTTAGATCTTAATTCCTCGCCTCTTTTCATTTGATCAAGGGAATTATCCGAAGAAATACTTTACTAAGAGCTACTGTTTAGCATATCTTTCTACTGTTGAGTATTCCTTAGGATGATTTTAGGCCTAATGTTTAGCTTAGCTCAGGAACACACTAGGGAAAAAGGCAAATAAATGTCTGTGGGGATTTTAGACTCATTCACTCTCTTATGAGATCTCTATCACTAAAGCACGAGGAGCCAGCATCTTACAGTGACATCATTCAGAAGAATATAAGACCCATCACAAGAACACCATTATATCATTGCACTTACTGGTGTTATTTTCTCCAACTGCTTCTTTTTCGGGTTGAGCACATCTTCTGGCTTACCGTCAATCCTAAAATGGAATCACAAACGGAGGCTTATCACAGGGAATACAATAAAGTTCTTTTGGAAATAAATTGGAGGTAGCATCCAGCTTCCCAAACTTCGTACATGACTATCCGAACTAAGTCCAATTTTCAAGCATAGTCATTTGTCAATTCAAGAAGGCTAAACGCGTAATAAGGGCCTAACTATGGCATCAAGATGCTCACCCTGAGAATGATATATGTTCTCCAACTTTGGCACCTTCAGGAGGTAGTAGTGGTTCCACAGCAGTGTGGTCTTCACTTGAAGCACATAAAACCTGAAAAGTTTGGGTTCGAAGAAGTGTGTTCACTGTAAATTTCATTCCTTCAGTGTTTGACAGTTTAAGATGGCAAAGAATCATCCTATTTGCAGTGCAGATTGTAGTCTTTGACGATGCAAAAAATACGGAGAAGATTATTAATGAAAACGATGCTGGATGTAGGCAAAGCAGGGCGGCACGTAACAACAGCAACAGCAGCAAAAGAAGAATAAGACATTTGGGCCAAAGTAAGACCTAAGTTCTAGGAATTGGATTTGGGCGCATCAGGGCCGAGCAGAAAAGATTATTGGCAGTTTGGCACTTCTTTTTTTGGTTGGTAGAAGACGTTTGGCAAAGGTGAAAGATTCCTATACAGTATTTATTGGGAAACGACCAGATATTTACTTTTTTACCAAGAACATGATAATTATTTGATAGTTTGACCATGACTAACAACAGAAACAATAAAGGAGATCTAGAGTTTGAAGAGGGACCAAAAACAGCAAAAGTCTATGAAAGTTTTTGGAGAATCCTGAGGTTGTTTCCTCGGTTCTTTTTCTTCTTATTATTAGCCTAACTTGGGCTGTCAATATATACACAGAGGTCTACTAGAGACCTTCCTAAGTTAGTGATCTAACATAAGGTAACTCCTCTAAATAATCAATTAAGAATATTTAGCTACTTAATCAGCAATAGCCACGTTATTCTCTTCACTCCTCCTCAAGCTTGGTGTAGATGTTATGAAGACCGAGCTTGTTCTTGAAATGCTCCAGTAAGTCACGAGCTAGGGCCTTTGTGAGTATGTCAGCTGTTTGTTGTCTTGAAGGCACGTAGTTGACATCCACGACCCCATATTCAACCTTCTCTGAGATAAAATGCCTGTCTATCTCGACATGTTTAGTCCTGTCGTGATGGACTGGATTCTTTACAATGCTCAAGGCTGCCTGACTATCAGTGTACATCTGCACTTTCTCTTGACCAGGCAAATTTAGTTCCTTTAGGACTCTTTGAATCCACATAGCTTCTTGGATGCCAAGAGCTAATGCCCGGTACTCTGCTTCGGCACTACTCCTAGCAACCACCGATTGCTTTTTACTCCTCCAAGTCACAAGATTACCCCAAACATATGAGCAATAACCAGTAGTAGATCTCCTTGATGTTATTGCACTAGCCCAACTTGCATCTGTATATAGCTCAATTGTTCGGGTGCTATTCTTTTTGAGAAACAATCCCAGTCCTGGAGTTGTTTTCAAGTATCTTAGAATATGTGTCACTGCTGCCAGGTGTTCTTCTGATGGATCATTCATGAACTGACTTACCACTCCTACGGCGAATGCAATGTCTGGCCGTGTGTGGGATAGGTATATTAGCTTCCCAACCAGCTGCTGATATCGCCCTTTATCAGCTCGTTTCACATCTGATTCGGTGTTGAACTGGATGTTTGGTTGCATCGGTGTATCTGCCGGTTTACAACCAGTCATTCCTGTTTCTTCCAATAGATCAAGGACATACTTCCTTTGTGATATAAGCAGTCCCTTATGTGACCTGGCCACCTCCATTCCCAAAAAATATTTCATTTCACCGAGATCCTTTAGCTCAAACTCTTCTCTCAGTCTAGCCTTCAGTTTCTCGATTTCTTTAGTATCACTTCCAGTGACAATTATGTCATCAACATAGACAATCAGGATAGTGAGCTTTCCCTCTTGTCCATGTTTGATAAACATAGTGTCATCGGCTTGACTTTGGGAATACCCATCTGCCATCACAGTTTTAGAGAACTTCTGAAACCACGCTCGTGGTGATTGCTTTAGTCCATATAGTGACTTCTCCAGTTTACATACTGAGCCTCTACCATGCTTATTTTCCACTCCTTCGGGTATCTCCATGTACACTTCCTCACTCAAGTTGCCATTTAGGAAGGCGTTCTTGATATCCATTTGAAACAGTGGCCAGTCTTCATTAACTGCAATGGACATTAGTATTCGGACAGTCTTCAATTTTGCCACGGGAGCAAAGGTTTCTTGATAGTCTATGCCGTATGACTGTGTGAATCCTCTAGCTACCAGCCTTGCCTTATACCTTGCAACACTTCCATCCGAATTGTATTTGATGGTGAATATCCACTTGCAATCAACTGTCTTTTTCCCGGTTGGTAGAGGCACAATCCTCCAAGTTCCATTCTCTTCTAATGCTCTTATTTCTTCTAGAACAGCTTGTCTCCATTGAGGATGCTGCATTGCTTCTGCAATGGTCCTAGGAGTTGAGTCCAAATGGCTAGTGAATGCCTTGTACTCCTTACTTAGCTGTCCATAACTGACGTACCTTTGAATGGGGTGTTTAGTACATGACCTCACTCCCTTTCGTAGAGCAATCGGTTGATACACACTAGCTCCAGTATTCTCCTGCTGATTATCCACTTCGACTTCTGCTTCATCAACATTGTTATGAGGTGGCTGTTCTTCATTGTCCGAAGCCTCATCTTCTGTTCTAATTGTCATTTCTGGCTGTACTGAATCTGCTTCAGCTGGTTCAGCCCTATTCAGAGTGTGGTTTTTCCTTCGTCGTTGATACATCTTTAGAATTACCTGTTCGGGTCTCCTTTCCTGATCCCCAACTGGTATTTCATTAGCTGTTGGAGGAGTTATAGTGACAACTGGTGGAGGAGTTACTGTGACATTTGGCATAGTAAAACCATCCAAAGCAATCAGATTTTCCCACCCTTGATGTTCTTGTTCCAATGTCTCCTCCTGGACATCAGTGTGGGAGTAATATGAGTGATTCTCAAAAAAGGTGACATCCATGGAATTAAATACCTTCCGTGTGATGGGGGAATAACACTTGTATCCCTTTTGTCGAGAGGAATACCCGATGAACACACATTTCTGAGCCTTGGGGTCTAGCTTCGTTCGGTGATGTTGTTGCACATGAACAAAAGCTAGACAGCCAAACACCCTTGGTTCCAGATCCGAGAGATATGCCTCTGTGTGAGGGTATGCTTGAACCAAGATATCTTTCGGAGTCTGGTACTTAAGGATTCGACTAGGAAGCCTGTTGATGAGGTATGTAGCAGTCAATACAGCCTCTCCCCATAGGTGTTTGGGAACTTGATTTCCAAATAGTAGTGCCCTAGCCGTTTCCAATAAGTGACGATTCTTCCGTTCTGCAATTCCGTTTTGTTGGGGAGTATCTACACAGGAGCTGCAATGTACAACCCCATTTTGTGCAAGAAACGTCCCTAAGACAGAATTAAAGTAGTCATGAGCATTGTCCGTCTTGAGGACTTGTATTCTTGTCTTGAACTGAGTGAGAATCATATGGTAGAACTCCTGAAACACGCTGGTTGTTTCAGATTTTTCTTTCATCAAGAATGTCCACGTAAGTCTAGTGTGGTCATCGATGAAAGTGACAAACCACTTAGCTCCATTGATGTTCTTGACTCGTGTGGGTCCCCATATGTCACTATGGATAATTGCAAACGGTTGGGTTGGTCTATAACTCAAAACCGAATAAACACTTCGAGTGTGTTTAGCCAACTGACATGTTTCACATTGCAACAACTTGGAGCTTTTATTCCGAAACAAATTTGGTAACAACCGTTCGAGATATCCAAAACTGGGATGACCTAATCGTGTATGCCATAACATGATTTGGCCATCTATCCTATCAGTACTACTAGTAGCTAGAGCCCTCCTTGTTCCTCTTGTTTCTTCATCACCACGTCCTTCAATGATGAAGAGGTCCTCATGCCTTTCAGCAGTTCCAATCGTCCTCCCGGAGCCTTCCTCCTGCAGGGAACAACGATTAGAACTGAATATGGCATTGCAAGACAAATCCCTAGTTATCTGACTGATTGACACGAGATTGCAGTTTAACTTGGGGACATGTAGGACAGGGAATAACTCTATGTACTGATTTAGTCGGATCCTTCCAATTCCTTCTACAGGAGATAGGCTGCCATCAGCTATTCTTACCCCAGCTTTGGTCGGATATCTCTGATAGTCACTTAATAATTCTTTATTTCCAGTCATGTGATCGGAACACCCTGAATCAACTATCCACTTAACACCTGATGTAGATTGGACTGAAAGAGCTGTAAACTGTTTACCTTGGTTAGCAAACATGCTTGTGAACATGCCTGCTTGATTCTGTTGGGATGGCTGCCCTATAGTCATTGCTTTGAAGAACTTCTCTAAGGCACCAGCTTGCTCTTTGGTAAAAGGAGTAGGGGTTGATTCAGGTTCTGGTTTCTTCTCAGATGCCACAGCTGCTACATGAGCTCGACGTCTTCCAGCCCCATTATTGTTGTTTTTCTTTTCTCCTTTTGGTTTCCAGTTGGCTGGGAATCCGATGATGTACCAGCAATCAGCTCTAACGTGACCATGCTTGTGGCAGTTGTCACAATAGAGCTCGGACTCATCGTCATCCCGCTTTTGACTTGGGTGGTCCTGTGGCTTATTCTTCTGAGGATTACGAACAGCTAACGCTGAACTTTCCCCTTGGCTTGGCTTAGGATTGAGCATCAGCTGACGTCTGCTCTCCTCCCTTAATATCTCAGCAAAGACAGTCTCGATGCCGGGGAAAGGCTTCAATCCCATCATCCGACCCTTGATCTCATCTAGGTCTTGATTCAAACCAAGTAAGAAATACAGGGTTCGTTTCTTCTCAATGTACTGCTTGAATTTCTCTTGATCTCCAGGGGTCTCCCAATCGATTGCCTCGTACATGTCTAGGTGCAGCCAGTGGTGTCCCAGCAAGTTGAAGTAGTCTGTGACATCCATCTCCCCTTGTTTGAGTTGAAACAATTGTGTTTCAATCCGAAACAATGCAGATGTGTTATCAACCGTTGAGTAGGTGTTTCTGGCTGCATCCCAGATTGCTTTCGCAGAGGGATGGAGAAGGTAGTTTTCCCCGATACTTGGCTTCATGGAATGGATCAACCATATTCGGACCAGGGCATCATTGTCATACCAGTTTTGATACAGGGGGTCTGTAGCTTCGGGGCGCTTGATGGCTCCGGTCAGATATCCTCCTCTGCTCCTGGCTGCAATATTCATCTCAACGGTTTTTGACCATTTGAGATAGTTCTTCCCGTCGAGCTTGTAACTCGTTAGGATGCTGGAAAAATCGGTGGAGGTTGGTGTTACGGTGCTGAAGTTGTTTGTTGGAGGAGCACTGCCTTCTGTATTCGTTGAGGAGTGACTAGAGTCGTCTTTCGTCATGACGAAGATGGCGGGTTTTCCAGAAAAATGAAGAAGAGAAAGAGGGATAGGAGAATACGGTCAGATCGACGGCGGAATTAGGTCAGAGTAGGCTCTGATACCATGAAAGTTTTTGGAGAATCCTGAGGTTGTTTCCTCGGTTCTTTTTCTTCTTATTATTAGCCTAACTTGGGCTGTCAATATATACACAGAGGTCTACTAGAGACCTTCCTAAGTTAGTGATCTAACATAAGGTAACTCCTCTAAATAATCAATTAAGAATATTTAGCTACTTAATCAGCAATAGCCACGTTATTCTCTTCAGTCTAAAAAGGGAAGAATATGTACATAAGCTCCTAAGCATACAATAATGGCCTTGAAGCTTGTGAAATGGCATTGAAATGCTGAATGAACTTCGAAAGCATACAAAAGGTAGTAAAGATGATTGCATGACAATGAAAAGTATAATTAGAGTTTACCAGTCCTTCTGACATCACATCTCGGAGCTTTCCCGGCTTTACATTTGTAATCAGCACAACACGTCGATTCTGTGGCCCAAAAAAACAAGAAAGGAAAGGACAAACCAAGCAAGCATCAGAACCGTCGAACAAAGAGAAAATAGTCATAACCTGTTTTCTGCCATGGATCTTACTGTTAACTGTTCTGGACTGTAGTACTTTGCCAAACCACTAACCACCTGCCTCACTTTGCCTTCCCCAACATCTATTTCTTCAACCAACAAACTGAATTATGCACAAGAATGAAAAATGTCACGATAGTTACATTTCCGCACCACCAGATCCGAATCCGTTTTTCAAAATATTTGAAAGTTAGAAACTAGTAGCAGCCAAAAAGATTTTCCTTTTGTTTCCCCAATTGAGCTATGAATTCTTCGAGCAAAAGCAACAGTAGTCACTATACCTATCAGCTGATGGATGCTTCCATGCCTTGCGGATAAGCCCAACCTGTAGGTTAAGCAAACTGACACTCAATTCTTTATCTTTCTCTAAAACTTCTGTAGTAGCTGGTTTCTTCTTCTCCTCTGTAGGTTTCTTCTTCTCCTCGGTAGATTCCTTCTTTGCTTGAACTTTTTTCTTTGAGTTCTGATGGAAGACCAAGAGGATGTCATGGAGAAAAGACAGTGTACCAAATACCAAATGTTGCGCAAGTACACATCTGTGCACAGCTAACTATCATAAATATTAACAAATACAAAAGGAACTAGTATTACAGAATTTGCTACACAATCTAGCAGGCATTTTTGGAGTTGTTCCGGATACCTATGGTTAAGAATTTACTTCACAAAAGTAACTCTTGCCCTTGCAATGTTTTAATAGCATCATGACTCAAGAGAGGCAAGAAGCAAACAGATAAAAGAAACACTGCAGCCCTTTCTAAATATCAAAATATTGAACTATATTCTTCATCCAAACAGCGATACTAAGGTTCTATGATTTCTACTGGCAGGTCAGGCATAAAGAAACAAGCTAGCCAGACTCATTGTGATTGGAGTGTAGCTAATTAAGGTATAGCATAACCAACTAGTTACTTAAAGTTATGATCTTAGTACCATTCAAACAATCCAGTAGCAGATTGTCCGGTAAATGATCTGACAAGTTGATTAACGATCTAGAGTAGCTCCATGGTAGCAGTTCACAAATACAAACGAATTTAAGAATCTTGCAAGTCTTTAAATTAGGCTTCCACAGCCCAGCTACAACCTCAAAAGGTTTGAGGTGAGGTGAGTTCAAACTACTGTTCCCTTTTCACACATCCTGAAAACCTGTTTTCCTACTAAGAACACCCAAATAAGCATGGATGCATGGGTCAGTTTGGTGTATACTACACATACCTTTGCCTCTTTCACTCTCTAATCCTATAGAAGATGAAAGTATAGAGATTTTGCTCTAAGCAATAGAAGAAAGGATACCTCAGGTTCACTTTTGTTGGCAGTTTGGTCAGCTTCTGCCTTCTTTGTGTTTTGTCCAATCTTCTTCGCATTTAGATCTGCTTCTAATTTTCCTACACTGGGGGCATCTCGTACCTGCAATTAAGCAGCAAACATAAGCAACTCAACAATCTTAATTGGGACACAAATCAAATAAATAAGCCAAAGGAGAAGGGGTAAGTAGGCAGAATCCAGAGTCATAATTGACAAAATAATTTCATCTACTTAACAGTGAGATGCTAGCTCAAGCACATATCAGAAGCCTCTCTATTCAAAACACACTGATCAAGACTTCCATTAAGTTCTTAACTAATTTATGTCAAAGAATCTGGAAAACTACATCTAGTACTTTATCAATGACTGAATAAATCCATATTGCTACAAAAAAGGGCAATGGTCGTAGACATGCTGACATCACCTGTGGGACAAATTCATCCTTTTCCAGTGGTATTTTCTCAAACAGTTCACCAAAATCTTCTTTGTGCTGGAGATCAGTGAAAGAAACCAAGTCAATTCGGGAACCAGAAACACGAACTCGAAAGGGCGCACAGGAGTTAAAGACTTTAAATGCAACATTGACGAATGTAATACCGTAAGTAGAGAATGCAAATTCCAAGAATGTACAATTTTCACCAACAACAGGCTACTATTTTCCTCACTCTTTTTCAGGCTTAAGACCCATAGAGAAGAGGTTCACACTGATTCTACACAAGCACTTCTAAGTTCTATGTTGTGAAGTTACAAACAAAAAAATAAATCAGACCTCCAGTGCAGCATACTGGAACACTGACCGCAAATCTAAGAGCACATTAATAAGAAAATTATTTGAAATTCAGTTAAACATGCAGTAGGTCTGCAAAAATTATCGATGAACTAAAAAACCTTCAACTGTACCCATCCAAGATACAACAGCAGCCTTGTGTAATCGGAAAGTTTTCAAATGGTGACGGGAAAAAAGAATGCTGGATAGACAAACGTCTCTTATGGTGGTACAATGCCAATAAGATTTCAATTCAATGAGATGACAGAATTCACCTGTATGTAATCCATCCATCTGAATACATGCAGGAACTTCTCCTTTTCTGACTGCGGTAGGCCAATCTAAACACAACAGAAACAGTCATGTTAATAAGAAATCATAAATTATCTGATGAGGGCTAAGGCAGACATGTGCGAGCTATTCAGAGCATTTATGGTATCGAGGGGCAGAAAAACACACCACAAAAGAATGTATGGCCGAGAATACAATAACATCAGCTTCCGACGGCGTGAGTCCATTCGCCAAAAGTACAGACTTTACAAGCAACTCATCGTCTAATCTGCTGAGAGCTTGACAACAAGCCTTAGAGTCTTGAGGAAAACTCTCTGAAAATCCTATCCATTTCATCACCTATCGACCATGCATTCACCTTTTCTTAGAACAACAGAACAAAGCTCTAGCGACAGCAACAGCAACAGGAACCACAGCCCACTGCGTATTAGTCAAACCTCGATAGCTAGCCAAGAGCTTACCTCATCTTGACCATTCAATGGAGTGGATTTTCCAGATAACTTCAGGATGTTGGAGTACAAGCTCTTAACATCAGAGTTCCCCACATCACTCAATGATTCTGACTGCTGCCCATTGAACCAGTTCTCAGCTTAGCCAGGAACATCAACAAAACTTTCATCGCGGAAAAATAAAATTGCTCAAGAAATTACTGAAAAGAGTAAGCAATTCGAAGTTAGAGGAGCTTACAGGCGATACAGAGAAGTGCTTGCCCAGAGCTGATGCTATTTTTCGCTTCGTTTCCACACTAACAGCTCCATTGGCAGCCATTTTTAAACGAATGTCTTGTGCTGTAAGTCACTCTTCCAATTTCTCAGTCGGGGATCGGAGGAAGATGAACGCAGATTACCTTCTGCCACAACAGACCAGAGAGGGTTTTGGAGACTTCTACTCCCGTTTTTCCTTCTCACTGTTTGGTTTAGCGGGCTGCGCACAGAAAAGAAGCCCGCGAAATTTTGGGTGGGCCATTGGAAGCCCAACGTAACAATTCCCGCTCATTTGTCTTTCTGATTTCTAATTCTTTTTCCAATCCCGGGCATCGCATTTGGGAGAAGAAAGAAAAACCCTCTTTTCCCGTTCCCACCCAAAAGCTCAAAAAAGCCAGAAACTTGCTTCTCCCTTTTGCTCCTTCTGCTCAGGCCTCCGTCGTCGTCGTCGTCGAGATGAGGGAACAACAACTTGAGAAGCTGCGGGGACTGGTGCGCGACTGCCTCAGCAAGCACTTGTACTCTTCCGCCATCTTCTTTGCTGACAAGGTCGCTGCTTTGACTAATGATCCTGCCGACATCTACATGCAAGCCCAAGCCCTCTTCCTTGGCCGCCATTTCCGCCGCGCTTTCCATCTTCTCAACGCCTCCAAAATCGTCCTCCGTGACCTCCGATTCCGCTACCTCGCTGCCAAATGTCTCGTAAGTAGTATTTTCAGAAATTCTCAATTTAGTGCTTCATTTGATTGGTTGCTGTCTGTGATTATCAATTTTACTACTTGAATTTGTGATTAGGAGGAGCTGAAAGAGTGGGATCAATGTCTATTGATGCTTGGGGGTGCTAAGGTTGATGAAGATGGGAATGTGTATGACATGAAGGATCCGTCTGCCATGTACTTGGATAAAGATGGGGAAGACCGTGAGATCAATGCAAGTCCATTTCCTCCCCCTTCCGTTATCTGGTTTTGCTTTTGATGCGTCTATTTCCTCCCGCAATTCTTCACTTTCTACTTGAAAATGTCCCCAAGTTGTGTTGATAGCTTCTGTGAACGAAGTTTTGGATTTTAATGGTAGACTCTTCGTCTTAGAAAAGTAGGTAGAGTGGAAGGCGGTATTGCTGTACTGTTAGTCTATTACTAGTTGGGAAAGATGTGGCCCATTACTTTTCAATTATTTGAAGATTTCTAGGATTTGGATTGAATATAGGAGGGAAGGACGTTCGTAATTACTCAAAAAGCTTGAAGATTTCTCTCTAAATGTGTCTTCTTGGATCCTGGTTACTGTAGTGAACTTCATTCCTTTCTTTGTCGCCCCCTTGTTACCTTGTCCTGCATCAATGTCACTCTTGCCTATCCTGGTGAAAAGTATAGTGCCATAGTTGAAGAATGTGTACGAATAACTTTGTCTACCTCAGCCCATCTTTTTCAGTGGGCAAGCAGAATTGTCACATATTTTGACCTGCTTTGGCAAGTTAAAGTTACTTTGAGAAGCTTCTGCACTAAGTTTGCAGTTCATTTCACTAGAGCTCTTGAAGATTCTGTCTTTTGATTGCTGAAATGAGTTGACTTTGAGTTCTGATGCACTGCCTGATTTCTCTTCTCTTATTTTTCTTTTTCTTGGCCGTGACAGATATCTTCAGCAATATGTTTTCTAAGAGGGAAGGCATATAATGCCTTGGAAAATCATGCCCAGGCTCGGCTATGGTAAGTTTTGTTCTTTTCCACTTTGAAGTTTGAACGATGATATTGGCACTTAGGTTCAAGCATATGGTAGGTTTGATGTTTTCATTTCCCATCACAATCAAACCAACTCTTTGGTGTTGTGGTAGCTTTTTTTCTTGACAACCTTAGTGTTGATAGTATATTCCTCCAAGTTCTTCTGTTGTGCTGTGGTGCTCTGTACCAACTTTCTTGTTAAAATTTAGCTGCAATGCACAACAATCTATAAAGTCCTGATTTGTACCTACTATGAATGGCCAATTTATATATTTTTAACTTTCCCGGTTTAACAGCATTCACTTGCTGTTCCTTTTTTCTTTGGCTTTGAAATTCACTTATTCATTAATTAGCTGAATGTTTAGAGATGACTATAGATGATCTCTTTTCTTTTCTTTTCTTTTCTTTTCTTTCCTTATTGTTTGTTTTTACACCCAAGGAGTTTACTACATTGTTTCCTGTTGAGGAGCTTATATGATCCATGTTGCTTTATTTTTCCAAGGTACAAAGCAGCTGTTAAGGCTGATCCTCTGTGCTATGAGGTACGTTTCAGAAAGTTTTTGGAATCTCATTGTTTCATTCTCATGCTGTGTTTGGATGTTGAATAAAATGTATAATTCCTTTTGTTTTATAGCCCTTTTCTGGGGGGATATTTGGCATGCATGCCAAACACAAAAGATATAAGGAAAATAAAAACAACCATGACAACCTCAGTTGGTGATTACACATCTCCCTTCCCACTAGTTCCTATAAATAGCTCGAAAGTGCAAACTATAGCTTTGTAAACACGATTTCCTATCAGATGATATTGAACATCAGTTTTGAGCTCTCAAATGACCCTCTATCTTGAGTATCCATCATATCTGAAAGGAATTCGAGAATGTAAGCAATAAATTGTTTTGTAATACCATATGGCCTTTGAAAACCTGTTTTTATGTTGACACAGTGAGTTTGTTTGTTACTCTCTTATCCACTCAGAGATTCATGTTTGGATCTGACTCAAGCATCCCTGAATGCCATCAGATGGCTAAGTTATTATGCTTTGCTGACTGTAAGGTTTCATTTCAGCTACCAAAACTTGTTCTTTTGAGGAAATTTTCAGTATTAGTTTCAGATCAGCTATGCTAGGAGTATCCATGCTCATTAACCTCAGTTGCCCTAGCTTAGTATTAGACAAATATTGTTCATATGTGGAACCTGAAGGTTTTACATCATTGTTGGTCGAAATTCTTTCAGTCTGTCGGTTTATTTTTTTACCTCTTTCAGGCTCTTGAATGTCTTTGTCAAAATCACATGCTGACTTGTGAAGAAGGTAAGAAACTTCCAATACTCGTTTCTGTTAAGTCGTCACTACATCCCGACGCCTGAGATTGTTGTGAGAGAATTAACTGTTCCGATTTAATATGATTGTATGCTGCAGTAAATGATTCAATTCCTATATGTAATATGTAATCATAATATCCTTCCTTTTAACTCCCAGAAACAAGTCTTTTTTCATCACTGGAATTTGGTCCTGAAGATGGGTGGCTTTCTTCGTTCTACTCTTGCTTGGGGAAAAAGGTAGTATTAGTTTTTATGTTGAAATAGAAAAGTTAAACTTCTGTTGGATGTTTTCCTAGTGGTGTTCTTGTTTGTGTATGGGCTTACATGGTTTTCTAGTACTTGTATGTTGACAGGGGCTTATGTATTTCTGTGTTCTTATGCACTAACCTCTCTCCTTCTGTGAATTATCTAGTGCAACAAAGAAAGCATTGTAGAAGACAAATTCCAAGAACTTGAAAAAGAAAGCTGCAACAATAATCCTTCCAGTCCATATTTTATGCGCACACTGAAAAATGATTCTGATCTTTTGGCCTGCAAAGCTGAATATTATCATCAATCTGGTGAATTCCAGAAATGCTTTGAACTAACATCATCGTAAGTTTATGAGACCCCTTGAATTTAACATTTGCACAAGATTCCTAGGGTTATGTTTTTAATCCTGTTATTTCTTGTAGATTGCTTGAGAAAGACCCATTCCATTATAAAAGCACCTTGGTCCATTTGGCTGCCGCTGTGGAACTTGGAAACTCAAATGAGCTTTATGTCATGTCATGCAATTTGGTGAAGGATGACCCTCAAAGGTAGTACTTTAATTAGGTTGCATAAGAGCTCTGCGATCGATGAATATTCAGTTGTATATTATTTATGTACACATTGTGAAATGCTATCAGAAATTTTGAATTCAAAATGCAATGAGCTTGAAGTATATTTGCTATGATTAACTAAAGTAGTGAAACAGAACATAAAATGAGATTGTTCTCTTTTGTGTGTGTGTGTGTATGGTTTAAACAAGCAGTGTAGTTATTAAGAAGATGAAAAGCAGGAGAGTTAAGAAATGTAACCTCACTTTCAAACTGTGAAACAGTAGAACCCTCATAACCAAAATCTTCCGAGAAGTACTGTTGCTTATCTGTCCTGTAACTTCTTTGGTGTTTTCCTTAAAAAGTATTATAGGGCCACACTCGTCATGCAAAGTGGATTTTGTTATTAGAATAAAGGATTAAACTTTTAGAATCTAAAATGTGATTAACCTTTTTTTTTTTTTTTGGGTAGAAAGACTAACCATTTTTTGTGTCTCTCTAAGTGTCAGATTTTTACTTTTCTGGGCAGAATGAAAGCTTTCTGTGCTATCTGTAAGTTTTCCTAAATACTGGAGTTACAGTTCTCAAGCATATTTAAACAAGCAAAACAAACTAGCAATTATGAGTAACATGGCAAAGAGGTATAAGTGTATAACCTATATTGTCAATTAGTAATGAAGACATGTCTTAAGGTCAGCTCATCACAGCGACAACAAATTTCACACCCATTGTATATTTCTTCTGGCTTTTGTCACTTACAGACTCATCTTTTTTAGGGCTCTTTCATGGTTTGCTGTTGGTTGCTACTACTATTGTATCAAGAAGTATGAACAGTCGCGAAGGTATTTCAGGTAAACTACAGATTATGCTTGGCTTTATTTGTCCGTCTTTTGTCAGTGATGGATGTTTGACAATCTCCCTTCTTATGCCTTTTGATGATCTCACTTTCTTTTTTCATCAATTAAAATTACCCATCTATGAAATCAGTTGGATGGTCCACATCATATGTTTGCCTTAGTACGTTGCCTATTTTCACTACTGTAGTGCATTCCTAGACTTATAAACCGGTGGCTACTGTGAATATAATTTTTAGAGCTTTTCTGTTTTTGGATATCATAACATAGCCTGATTCCATAATTAAGACTTCTGTCGTCAAATTCGAAGCAATGCCATGACTATCGATATATCCATTAAATCAAGAGGGTTTCTGAATTTGAGGAAAGGAACTGGAACAAGTAATATGAATTGATTGCCAGTTATACAAAGTGTTTGGATTATAGTACTTATGGAACTCAAGGAAGGACATGGCTGCAAATTTTGTTACTTTCTTTCTTCTTTCAAGGACAATACCCTATCAAGGCGATTGAGCTAGAATAAGTGTGTCAACTTGCACTCACATAAGTTTGCAAGGTTATATCCAAGCTGTGTCTATCGCCATGTGTTGGTTTCCTCGTCATTATAAATCAAAAAGATTTGGAGAAGATTTGTTCTTCTGATAACTCATTATAAAACACTGAAACATAGTGGTATTGTGAAATATTTACTTCATTTTCCAACTAGTACTCTATTCTTCAAATTTAAAAGTACTGAGCTTCCTTAACAACTATACAGATCTCAACTCGCTACCCGCAAATGCACAATCTTTTTTTTATATAAATGATGATTCAGAAATATTGGAAAACCACAAATACCAACAAATACACAATCTTTACCATGCATGCGTACATAATATGGATGCTTTGACTGATCTCTTCCTTCTTCTGTAACTACAGCAAAGCAACTAGCCTGGATGGAATCTTTGCACCTGCTTGGATAGGCTACGGGAATGCTTATGCTGCTAAAAATGAGGGAGATCATGCAATGTCGGCTTACCGTACAGCAGCCCGTTTATTTCCAGGGTATTCATGATATTATCTTGTCACCACGCAGATAATTTAATGTTCCTTAAAATACCATATATAGGACATTGCAGCAGGTGCTTGGGTGCAATTAATTTGACAAGCTTGCATTAGTTTGCCTTTTCATTTGGTAGCTTATACTGCATTTTATTGCTGTTCTTTCTATCTCTGGCACCTTTGTGATTTTCGCCAGCTTTTTCAGCTTACAGAACATCTCAATCTTGTAATTGTTCCTAGGATCATGAACGTTGTAGCATTCCGTTACTGATTTGAGTAATAATTTGCATTCAGGAAGCCCCTCAGATCAATAAATTGGTTTTTACAGGTTGAATCTTGATATTCTCTTGTTCCAGGTGTCATCTACCAACACTGTACATTGGGATGGAGTACATGCGGACTCACAGCTATAAGCTTGCTGAGCAGGTAATTTCAATTTTCAGATACTTGATTTTTTATTCTAGGGAGCTCTTTGTACACTAAGTCTCAGTCTTGGTGCTGATATTTCCCAATCGTATGAAATGTTGTTCCTTTCCTATTCTGAGAAAATCTGAAATGGTTGGAATTGGGAGGAACGCTTGAGAGAGCCCTCCACATACCTGAACTAGTTACATTGAACACTAGGCCACATGGGAACTAGGACTGTGGCTCATTTTTTTCTCATCTCAACCTGGGAAGTGGTAATAGTGTTACCATTAAAGCATCTATTATGAGCTTTCAATGAGTTAAGGTCTCAATCCACGACCAGTTGATCATCATGGCATAGAGATCTGGGCAACATTTTGAGACCTTACACCCTTATTCTAAAAAAATATAACATGGGGGGAAACGATTTTCTCTTGAGCTCATAACGGCTTTACTTTCTTTGGAATTTATTTTTGGTGGGTTTGTTGCGCATTTTCATCTGACTTGACTGGACATTTTTGCTTTTTGGCGCTGCCAGTTTCTATTGCAGGCAAAGGAAATATGCCCTTCTGATCCTTTAGTATATAATGAACTTGGAGTTGTCGCTTATAGCATGAAGGAGTAAGGATCTCTTATCAATTAGTCATCCTCTAGTCTTGGCTAAAATTTGCTGTAGTGATCTCTTACCTTGATATTTGTGGTTCTTTTTGAAGTATTTTCTTTGCGGTTGACCTTGCTTTGGACAGTGCATATTACCAAGATCATGTCGATGTCCCTTGTACCAAGTGTAATTGAAATAAGTATGCTTGTACTGTTATTTTCTAAATTCAATAATTGTAGGACATTCAAGGGTATAATGTAAGCTGGTGGTGAAAACTTCACTACCCACTGTTAGTGAACGAACCAGCATGGAGTAGTGCTTACAAACAAGGATGCACTTCGCTTGCTACAACAGTATTTTGTTAGATGAATTAACTAGAATTAATCATACTAACATAAATTTTCTGGAGATCCAGAAATTCCTACGGTCTCACTTATATTTTATTGGTAACAGAATTAATCATTGTAACCGTAATACTTGCTTATCCAACACACCTTGACTTAATAAACATTGTGATTATTATTGATGTGAGTTTATCTTCCTGATACATTTGCAGGTATAACAAAGCTGTGTTTTGGTTTGAGAAGACTTTGACTCATATTCCAGCTTTGAGTCAACAGTGGGAGCCTACTGTCGTGAATCTTGCCCACGCCTACAGAAAGCTCAAGTGCGTCAATGTGCTGTTGAAGATTATTTTTAAAATAACTTCCTATTTTTCAAATGTGTCTTCACCTTAGCTTCTGAGCAAGTAACTGGCAAATAAGTATGAGTATGGCATTTTATGCGTCTTAAGTTGACGATCTCTCTCATGATCACGAGAGAATAAAGTTGAGGTACCTTATCATGCCTAATTTGGCACGTACGTTAGAGTAATGGTGCATGCTATTGCAAGAGGTACTTTGTAAGCAGCCCAAGGATTGTTCAAAAGTTATAGAACTCCATCCCTTCAATTTATTACCCCCGATAAGCACATCCATGTTTGACTTTACATTGAGTAAATTGTCTTCATGAAACTTAACTGGAAAACGATGTTGTCTTTGTGTGATGGTGCCCACCTTCTTGGATGCACAGGTTTAGGTTAGATCAGTCATGTGTGTATCTAGGCTCCTTGCTTATTGATGTTTGTTGACAATGTATCAGGATGTACCCAGATGCAACTTCATATTATGAGAGAGCTCTTGCGTTATCAACCACAAGTTTAAGTACTTATTCAGGACTTGCATACACCTACCATCTCCAGGTAACTTCTTTCTCTGTATTTACTTCTCTCCTTGGCTTTTGCTCGAACCTCGGCAATGCCTTAACATTTTGGGGCAGTCAGCATCATCGTTCTACACCTCGTGCAGACTCTTTCACTGCCTTCGGTTCTGATGTTTCATTTATGCTTCTCTCAGTAATACGAAGTCTGGTGTTGTGTGCTGATGATGGTATTTGACTAATCCTATGTCTTCTTGTACTGTATTTGCAGGATAATTTCACAGCTGCAATTACATATTATCACAAGGTAAGGCAGCTGCATCTACTGAGTTGATTTTGTATAATAACTTACACTCAATTGCTGATTGCTCTTATAAAAAAAAACAATTTCTGCTGATTGCTGTGGAGTTCCAACTTAGTCTATGAATGCACTTCATTTTGTGATGCTGTGTTTTGTTGTTTGGCCAGGCACTGTCGCTGAAACCGGACGATCAATTCTGCGCAGAGATGTTGAGCTCGGCACTCGAGGATGAAGCTCATTATGATATAGACCCCAAGTTCCAGTCCCGCCTGAATGAGGTTTTTGTGTAACACTGTAGGTTGATAGATGGGGAGAAAAAAAAGGAAAAGAACCCAGAAACGAAATGTGTTTATATAAGTGGTAGTGCAATATGGTTCATGTTTTTCCTTCTTTTCCTAGTGTAGTAATCAATTTAGTTTTCTAAATGTGACCAAGGGGCTGGAGGAGCCTATAAATTATATGCCACTCATGGGTAACTCAATTCTTGACCTTCACATCCTTACTCTCTTACAAGGATTTACTCAAAAAGTCTCGTTTTGATGAGAAATATGACAATTTGGTCAAATAAATGACAGGAAAGCCAGGTCATGGGTTAATTGCAAGGATGGTCATTGAGTTTACTAAAATTGTTCATGTTTGGTCACTGCAAATATTTAATTCCATTCATGGTTACTAAGATTAGTTCAATAGTTTAAGTTTGGTCACTCTTCGTTAGTCTCCGTTAGTTTTTGCTGATGCGGCAGTCAACTATTATAGTTGACCGTTAAATGAGTGACATGGCCATTAAAAAAATAATAAAATTTAAATATTTACAATTTCGACCTCATTTTACAACTATTAAAAAATAAAAATAAAACTTACCTCCACCATCTACGCCACCGTGGCCATGACGCGATCGTCTCCGCCGCCGCTCCTTCCTCAACGCCGGCCTCGCTTTGCTTTACAAGAACGGGAATTTCCTGACTCGGGAAATCCCGAGCGAGATTGGGAACCTGACCAAGTTGCAGGAACTTGATATGGGTAACAACAGATTAACTGGTGCGATTCCACAAGCTCTTCTGGGATTGGAAAAGTTGGAGTCTTTAAGTTTGCGGGGAATTTTCTGTCAGGGGAGATTCCAGTTGGAATTGGGAACGTGTCCAAACTCGACAGCATTTCTCTAAGCGACAATCGACTGACCGGCGGGATACCTCTTTCGATCCAGAACTTGACCAAGCTATACACGCTCACCCTCGACAACAATCTCAGGTTGAAAAATGTAGATGCTTTGGTTCCCAAATCAAAGCTGGGAGAGCTGTCACTGGCTTCTTGCAGCATTTCAGGACGAGTCCCGGGTTGGCTACGAAACCAGACTGCAATTTCTTACTTGGACTTGAGCAGGAATCGAATCACCGGAGGGTTCCCAAAGTGGCTGGCTAAAATGGGAATCATTGATCTTGTTGTTTCCGAAAACTTGCTTGAAGGTACTCTGCCTCTGGAATTGTTCTTGGAACGAGGGTTAGAAGGGTCAAGCCAAGGAATCCTCGACCTGTCAAAAGAACAAGTTCTGTGGGAATTTCCCAGACAGCGATCGATGTGATCCGAGATTGGTTCATGGCCCTGGTATTATCCAATAACCAATTCACCGGCCCCATCACACAATGCATCTCAAACGTCTCCACTCTGGCACTGCTGGACTTGTCCATGAACCAACTTCCAGAGTCGATGGGGAAACTGTTGCAGCTGACGAATCTGAAGCTGAGAGACAACAATCTCACCGGTCGGGTTCCGCACGGTCCCCAAATGGACAGGATGAACGACCTGGATTCTTACGCGAGAAATGTCGATGGGCTGTGCGGGCGCAAATTCGTGTGCCCTGCATCGAGCCGGTGACGCCGGAGGAGGCGGCATCGACTCCCAGAGACGGAATCGAGAGCGAGGAGGGACTCGTATGGTTTTCTTGGATGACGGCCGGAATCGGGTACCCGGCTGGATTTGTGACGACGGTCCTTGAGATGTATGGGTTTGGTTACTTCCACCATCCGATGTGGCGGCGGTGACGGATGAGGAGCCGTGCCGCCATCAAGTTCTGACTAGGGTGCGCAACCGTGCAAGAGCGGAGACCTAATTATCGGAGGTTGTGTTGAAGTATTCAACATTTAGCATGTTAACAACTGATGTTTCGATTATGAAATCTTGACCAAAGTTCTCTATGGAGGTGTATAATGTCAAGATGAAGCAAAGCGAGGCCAACGTTGAGGAAGGAGCGACGGCGGAGACGATCGCGTCATGGTCACGGTGGCGTAGATGGCGGAGGTAAGTTTTATTTTTATTTTTTAATAGTTGTAAAATGAGGTGAAAATTGTAAATATTTAAATTTTATTATTTTTTTAATGGTCACGTCACTCATTTAACGATCAACTATAATAGTTGACTGCCACATCAACAAAAACTAACGGAGACTAACGGAGAGTGACCAAACTTGAACTATTGAACTAATCTTAGTGACCATGAATGGAATTAAATATTTGCAGTGACCAAACATGAACGGTTTTAGTAAACTCAGTGACCATCCTTGCAATTAACCCGCCAGATCATAGTCATCTCAACATTTGTTATCGAGTCATTAACGGAATATATGTTTGATCGTCAGGAACATATATTTGAGCTAAATCTGTTCAAAACATATATTAACCTAATGATATTTGAGCTAAATCTGTTCAAAACATATATTAACCTAATGGTCAACGCAAAATTTGAGCTAAATTTTGTTGACCATCGTTTTGATCTTTTTTCTTTTTCTGACTCTTTTGGTCTGGTATATTCTTGTATCTTGCTGTTCCTTCCGGAATATCTTTGAAAAAAAAAGTAATATTTATTCGAAAATTTAGTCCAAAACTTTCATTTACGCCAAACTTTAGGTTAAACTAGAGTAATAACTAGGGTTGTTGATGAGTCGAGCTATTCGTGAGCGGCTCGCTCTTGAACTCGATAAAAGCTCGTTTGATTAAAAAAAAAACTCTGCTCGTTAATAAACGAGTCGAGCTTGAGCTTTACCTTGTTCGGCTCGTGAAGCTCGTGAACTAGCTCGATTAGGTGACTCGTTGAATACAACTTACGAACTGTCTCATTTTGAGCTTATGAGATGTCCCAACATTGTGACCAGAGAGCCAACTCGACTACAGCTTATGAGAAAATCAATCTATATTTTATGAGTTGGTTTGTTAATGATTCATATAATTATTAAATTGCATATATCACCTCATATGGTGTTTAATACATTGAGTATATGTAAGCAAATACGTCTCATATATGACATAACATTAGATAATCACATGTATCACGTATGACATATAAATATTAGGGCATATGCTCCATGTACTCATAGTGAGACATCTCTATCTAGACCATGAATTAAACCGAGTTTGAGGTATGATACTATACCCTAACCGCAAATGGATAAACCCCAGGCCCCGATTTTCTAATCCCAAACCCAAGAGTTCAATTTAAGAGAAAAGAAGAGTTGACCATTGAGATTGGCCGGAGCTAATCCATGTAAATCTAACGGTCAAATCATCTGGAGCATACTATGCTCCTAGAGCATACCAGTCATCTCCATAAATATTAGGGTATTTATATTATAACTTATCTTAGAGTTGAGCTCGAGCCAAACTTTCGATCTTAATGATATGTCAAGATTTAATAAACGAGCTAACTCGTGTTGGACTCTACTCGACTCGTTTATAAACGAATCGAACATAAACAAAACAAAACTCGTCTCGGCTGAGTTCATTAACAGTCCTAGTAATAACTCATTTTCTTATCTTACAAAACGAACTAATTCGAATTATCTCTTTACTCTTTACAATCATAAATTCATAATACAGGGGGACCGGCCCCGTGGAAAAAAGTAAACTAGACTGAAAGGAGTGGGAGTGTCGTTCTGGACTTCTGGTACTAAATTGACCGCCATCGGTGTTGCCGCCGCCGCCGTAGTCGTCGTGCGAGTGAGCGCCAGACGCCGCTAAGGCTCCATATTGGCACCTCTCTCTCTTTCCGCTTTCAAAGTTCCTCCGACTTTCATTGAACTGAAAAAGGCCATTGCTTTTACAGTTCCAGAGAGTGTTCGCAGGTTAGTCATAAGTCTCCTAGGGTTTTAGCCTTCAGGGTTTTTGTTCTCTCTTCCTAGAGCCCCATTTTGATTTGGGTTTTTGCGCTTCTCTTTCAGATCCTCAAATGCGGCGTACATTGATGTCGCTTCCCAGCCGTCTGCTGGCGTCCGCGCGGCAGTTCTCTACCAACTCCGACAAAATTGTAGCCTCCGTCCTCTTCGAGAGGCTGCCCGTCGTCGTTCCCAAAATCGATCCGGTGGTTTACGCTTTCCAGGAGTTCTCGTCAGTTCCCAGCCTCTATATCTGTGGGTTCCCCTCGGTTTAATTTCCTCATTGGGGTATTTTCTAACTCCTCTTGTGATTCTGCTCTAGGTTTCGGTGGCAGCAGCAGTATTCCCGCAGATATCCGGATGAGTTCTTGAACAAATCCAACTCCAGGTGTGTGGTTTCGGGGCCTTACATTCTCTGATCAATCTGAATTTCAATGCTATAGGTAGCTGTATAGGATTTTTTTTTTTTCTTTTTTGGAAAAGGGTTCTCCTGGATTCTATGTTCTTGAATTGCTTGCATCGCTACATGGTTTTGAGTTCCTCGGTGAGCTGCTATCTGCCATTGTTTTTGTATTTCCCCATCGGTTAATTTGGCCTCCTCTGTCGAACCCAACATCTGTCATGCTGATTTAGTATGGAAGGTGATCTGAAATGCTCGTTCGCTATACTTTATACTGGTTGTTTTTCCAAGGATCAGGCCGACAAGCGTAGTTTGGCCAAATAGGTCCAGTAACTTGAAAACCTGATGTTTCAAACACTGCATTGGATCATATTCGCTTCTCCTTTTGGCATGATCAAGTCTACCACCCACCTTCCAGTCCTAGCTGTTTTTTATCCGTGGTTGTTAGTCTCTTTCTCTTTGATCATTAGCATCTTGATTTCAATTATAATTTAGTCGTGATGAGTTGAAAACTTCGCCTGATAACATGTAATATGTGTGCTTATTGCTGGTGTACACTATTTCCATTTCCTGATAGCTGACATGGATTATTGTACTATAGATTATAATGGATTTAATATTTTGTTTAAATGTAATCAGGGCGCAAGGTGAATACCAAATGGAGTATGTACCAGCCCCAAGGATCACAGAAGCTGACAAAGCAAATGATAGAAAGTAAGGAAAATATGTGTTTAGTCCGAACTTCTTAGATATCCTTGCGATGATTGATTCAGCTTTCCCTTCATGGAACAAACATTTCTACTTACTCAACTTCAGACAAACTTTGTGCATTAGGCCTCCTACGTCTGTTTGTCGTGTAAACTCCCAAATGGTGTAGGATTAATTGTAATTCTTCCTATGAATGCTTAAGTCACAGAAAGTTTGAATATAATGTCAATGGAGCTGTTTCCCTACAGTTGTCCATTATATTTATACAGTAGTTTTTTTGTTTGAATGTTTTGTATAGGTCACTGAACAGGGCATTGGATAGAAGGCTTTACCTTCTTCTGTATGGAAAGTTGCATGGATCTTCTGATGACAACCCCGTCTGGCAGTTCCCACAGAAGGTGTATGACTCCGAAGATACATTACGCAAGGTGACCCAAGTTTGTAATGGACTTGTATGTATGGTCTCAAAAGTCCGCACTGCGATTTTCTGCTCATGTTATTTCTATGGAATTTGTGCAGTGTGCTGAGACTGCATTACAGTCTGTGTTAGGGGACCTCTCCCACACTTATTTTGTGGGCAATGCTCCTATGGGTCACTTGGTGGTTCAGCCTGCAGAAAAGGCACCGGACCTCGGTTACAAGGTACTTCCTTTTCTTCAGTTCTCAACAACTGTAACACTGCAATCCCTCTCCCGTCACCAGCAAGTCTTTATCCCCCTCTTATTCATTTCTTTCTCTATCTCTCCTTTTCAGCAATTCTTTTTCAAGTCCCAGGTGATTGCGACCAACAAGTTCAAAATCAGCAAGTGTCAGGATTTTGTGTGGGTGACCAAGGATGAACTGCTAGAGTTTTTCCCAGAGCATGCTGAATTCTTCAACAAGATGATTATCAGCTAATTCCAGTGGATGGATGCACCACCCGGCTTTTTATAATTAGAAGAAGCTCTCTTTATTCTCAGGAATAATCTGGCAAGGTCTTGTAGTGATGCGGCCTGATTCCCTTTTTTCTTGTTTTCGGAATAGAGAATAGGCTCTGCTGAAACTTTGGCCTCAGCTTACTAATGTTTGATTCTGAAGATTAAACCTTACTTGGAAGAATTCTAGAGCATTTGATGCCCTCTTATTCTCTAATTCAGCAAACTGAAAATTCAAAGGAGCGTTTGGAAGCATGTATTATGCCCACTAATTTTCAGAATCCGTGCGTTTATTACTTTTTTATATAGCATTTCTTTTCTTTTCAATTTGATTTCAAAATTATGTTTGGTCAAATCTGATGTTAGAACTTAGAATACATTGTTTGACATGCAAGGAGTCTACATTACAGGAATTCTTACAATTCTAAATGCCCCTAAGTTAACTTATCAAGTTATCACCGAAACGCAATTACTGGATTAAACAATGACAACTCTTTGATTACGTACCAAAATGCATCATATATAGGGATTTACATGGGTGGCTCACCGAAATTAGATGGTTGCGATGTTGCGTGGGTCAGTTTTAGACATTCTTAGCTATTCACTCCGTATATTACGGTTAGGATAATAATGCAACCAAACCGAATCACAAAAAATGAAATGCTATGAGTTCGGTTTGCTTTGAGTCGGTTTGGTTTGACCACTTAATTTGGATGAAACACATTTAACCCAATATGCATGATGATCACACATGTTTAGAAGGATACATGATTATACACGAGCAAAGCTAGTTTGTTCTTTCTTTCTCAAACTCATGTGTGACAAAAATGATATGACGAAGCCTTACTGCTCGGTTCTCTACTCCATGAGTACACTTCTCGAGCTACTGAATGGTTACTCGTTTTCCTACCAAGTGATTATTTGCCAATGGATCTATTAGCCTAAATAATTAGAGCATCATGTAATAACACGAGTGACCAGGATTCAAATCCACGAGTGTCACGAGTTCAAATCACGTCATTCGAAAAATTGAAATGAGAAAATCAAATCTCACACATACAACACAGATAAAGGTACTACAATTAATAGTAATCCATTCAAACATCTTTCACATAAAACACATGAGAATCAAATGAGAACTGCATATGCGGTCATTCCTCAAACAAAAGAAAGACAAAAAGGTAGTTAGTCTATATTTGTTTCGAGTCACATTAAATAAACCCTAACCGATCAAAATATTTTGAGATTTACTAGCTTTACGGTTAGGTCAGTTTGGATTTAACGGTTGGGTCGATTTCTGGGTTGTCATGTTCACCCCTAATCATATATACAACTATATACAAGAAATGTGTTAAAGGTGAGTTCACTTCCCCTCCAAAAGACGCAACATCAAATTCCTCCTTTTCAGTTTCCTACTTCTGACCTTTTTAGATCTCCACTTTCTATACCTTCTTCGCACCCTGAACCAGCTGCCGTAATCTTTCCCATGCTCACACTCCACATAGTCTGCCAGATCTTCATATTCAGATGGCTTGGCTCCGGCCAACATAAAGTAAGCTTCCCCGTTGCAAGTCCTGTTCGATGGAATGGTTAGAGTTTGCATAACACTGGACCATGGAATGGTTAGATCACTAAAAGTGAGGACGGGACATGGAAGATCACGATGTATTTACCTAGAGTCCTTGTCTCGTATCTGTCGCATTCGAGCTGCAATCTTCTTACTATTACTGGATACCACCGGCGGCTGCAACCATATTGTTTCAGAGCTTTCAGCTTATTTTCAACCCTAAACAGGAGAGAAATTCTGAAGAAATCTGTTCAGGAGAAGAAGAAGAATCAAATATACCTTTTCGGCTGGTGGGCACTCGGAAAATGGTGGCTGCAATCTGGAATCAACTGCCGGCTGCAGGGCATCGAGGCTACCCTCTTGAACAAGGAACAAACTTAATGATGCCATAATCATTAATAAACAGTCTTTGGCCAAGAAATCAAGTCTGGTACTGTAACTGAAGGACAGCAAGCCAGAAAAGTGCAGAAGCATTGATTTGGACTCCTTATGCTTCACTACTACGTCATCAGTTGCCATCATTTTATAGTGTAACAGCTTCCCAACCGGTACATTAATGCTGAGCTCTTCAAAATGACTAGCGGATTTCACTATGGAGTTTCTGTAAGCATTTGGAGCACTTGGACACCTCTGGAGAAACCAGACAGTTTGTAGCATTGAACTAGTCATTAGCTTCAAGATAGATGAAAGAAATAACATATCTTCATGGCTTGTTTCTCCTTCGCTTGGAAAAGGGGAACTTTCTTCATTGGCGTCAGAGAAACATTCATCTACTATGCAAGCTAATATCGACAGAATCTTATTTCTGTGACATTCTTCAAAAACATACAGGCTCTCCTTCACATAATCCACAGATGAAACCACAATATTAGACTTTAATGATGCATTTCTCACACTTGTAAGCCAATCACTATTCAACTTGGCAATCAGATTATGAAGTGTATCCCTTGTGCCAGCCTTTAGAAACGAATCAAAAGCAGTCAGTTGATGACTACTACTCTTGGACAATGCATCATGGTGGCCACCAGAAGCACAAAAGTGATGCCTATCCACGCACAAACTAGGTACGAATCTGGCATACAGGTCTATAGACCTTTCAAACGCTGAGAAGTAGCTGGAAACAACAGGCGCAAGTTCCACCCTCTCATTCTCGTCAGGCTTTCCAATACCAATGGTTTCAGCAGTCAATAAAATCAAATAGGCTTGAAACACCTTCGGTGCAGAACCTATCACAGGGTTGATAAGTAACGATAAAGCTGCTTGCAAGCAAATTCCAGGTGTTCGCACCTCATGGTTCTCATGGCACCAAAACAACATTTTACCTAAATGTTCATCAGATCCCAGCCCAGGAAAACCCGATAGAATGAAATGAGCACAGATCACCTCTAACAAAGTTCCAGTGTCACAGTTAGCTGCATAGCCCTTGAATAGCATTTCATTTCTTGAAGACCTAGAGTCGATTGCCATCAAGAATTTGAACAGTTGTCGATGAACCAAAAGCTCATCCGCAAAAACCTAAAGACAGTGGTATGAATTTGAGATTACCAAAGTAAAGGTACAAGAAAAAACATATAAACTCTTAAAAGGCCATCATTGTGCACAAGAAAGCAAAATCATCACCCGCATTTTGTATCTACTAGTCTAATACGAAATTAGAAAAGCTAAACGCAACATAGCATTTATAAGGAAACTCATTCTAGTAAGGAAAAAGGAATAAGTGATTACCTCAAGCATTGCACAAGCAAAGGTAGATGGCCCAAGTGAAGGTGCAATGGAGCTAGTACAATCACCATTAGCATATGTTCCGTCAAGAGACATCAATCTTCTAAGAATAAAAAGAAGAACTCGGCCCTTTTCAACAAGTGCCAGGTCATTGACCATAAAGGGTAACATAGTCATACAACACCTCAGCAATGAAGCCACCATTTCAATCCTTAACGTAAAAGCTTCGAGCCCAGAGTCATGATCACTCAAAGCAGAGAAGAACTCCTCGAATCTCCAGCTAAGCTCTTTATACAAAACGTCGGAGAGATCAACTATGTCCCTTGATTTCAATTTCACACCGGCAATCTCCGCCACAACACCGGAGAGATTGGAGGTAGCCGCGAAGTCAGAGCAAGTTATTTGGTGGTTCGAAGATAGGTGGACCAGAAACTCATACAACCACTTCAAATTAGTGGGCTTTACAACCTAAAGTTCCAGAACGCAAACAAGAACGAAGAAAACCCTTGTAAAGAAATCATGCACAAAAGAACAGCATTCTAATTCCCAAGTGAAAGAGAGAGATTTCTTGCGCAATTAGAGCCCTACCTTCTCCGCCGACGAAAAGCCACCGGAAAGAAAGCCGATGGTGTTTGCAACGATGTCCCGAAAATCAGTCGTCGTAGGCATATCTGACAGTCAGCGCGAGAGGCAGTAGGGAGGGAGGAGCGGCGAGTTTGCTCTGCGATAATGACGGGCGCAGCGCGTCAACTACCCGGCCGACGGAGAGCGGTCGTTGACGGCGGAGCGGGAAATTGGAGGTTCTTTCTTCTTGTGCTTTGATTTTGAACGCGGTGGCTGGTGAGTGGTGAGTGAGCAGATACCTTCCATCGTTCCACCGCTGCCGCGGCGTTATTTTTCTTCACGCGCGGCAATTTTCGGGTTTTGCGCGCCAGTTCAAAACGGCGGCGTTTTATATGAATTCTCAGTTATGTTTACGAGGTACGCCTCTATTCCTCATACCTGTTAAACCTCTCAGCCGCTCGGGAAATCGCCTCTCTCTCTCTCTCTCTCTCCAGAAGTCGTACTCCAAAATCGGCGGCCGCAGCGGCTCCGGCTCCGGTTCAACGGTCCAGTCGTCCTCTCACTCTCTCTTCAGGGCTTGCTAGGGTAAGCGGAGGGAAGGGAAGAAGGAAGGAGGATGGGAAGAGGTGCGGCGCAGCTCATGGATACTAAGACGAAGAAGAGGAGAAGAGAGGACGAGAAAGAAGAGAAGGAAGGAGAAGTAGCGAGGAAGGGAAGTTCGGAGATATTTGCAGATTGTTCTTTCTCTAGTCTCGGCCTTCATTCCGCCCTCTGCGACCAGCTCCGTGGTAACTTCAATTTTTATTTTTCTTCAATTTGTCATTAGCCAGTTTCATTTTCACAGTAGGCTTATTCGCGAGTTATTTATTTGACATATGTGATTACTGAACAGAGAGGATGGGGTTCGAAGCTCCGACGTTGATACAAGCTCAAGCTATTCCTGTTATTCTCGCCGGCCGTCATGTGTATCCTTATCAGTCTTAGCTGTATCTGTAGTTCTTCAATCATGCTTCACTTACTTTACTGTGAAGGTTCTCATGAATGGTTAAACAATAAATCTTTTGTTTGTGGCCTTAATTGGAAGCTTGAATGTAGACTTGTTAATGCTGCTACGGGCACTGGGAAAACTGTTGCGTATTTAGCTCCAATCATTCATCACTTGCAGAGTTATGACCCTAAGATTGGCCGCTCCCAAGGAACTTTCGGTAACCTGATCCCTCTTTCTTCCTTGATTCCTCTTTCTTCCTTGATTCCTCTTATCATGCTATTAAACTCCAATTTGTCTCTTTGAAGTTGAAACTTAACTGTTATCTGCATTGTAGGGTTGGTTCTTGTGCCGACTAGGGAGCTTTGCCTGCAAGTCTATGAGATTCTGCAGAAATTATTGCATCGTTTTCATTGGATCGTCCCTGGTTATGTAATGGGTGGCGAAAACAGAAACAAAGAGAAAGCTCGGCTTCGCAAAGGTGTGAATTTCCTTTCATTGGAACCCTATCTTTTTGTTAGAATCATATGGTTTTGGGGATTTTCTTATATGTTAATAAAACCATTGAATCGTTATGCTTATTTCACATTTATATTTGCTCATCTGTTGCTCATTGCTTTTTGACGTTCTCTCACTTTACTTGTCTATTACGGTCTAAAGCAACTTCATTGGCAATCTTTGCTGTCATTGCCATTTTCTCTATAATCGTTGCCACACTAGGTTGTTCTGATTTACTTTTTCAGCACGTAGAGTGTATATAGGGATTGCCAGGACAATAAACTTGAAGCTTTTCATCAGCAACAGAAGTTGACGCTTAATTATCTGGTTCCTTGCAGGTATTTCCATTCTTGTTGCAACTCCTGGGCGCCTTTTGGATCACTTGAAGCATACGTCTTCTTTCACACATTCAAACCTGCGGTGGTTAATCTTTGATGAAGCAGATAGGTACAGATTATTATCTGGTCAACTGGTCAAATTTTTATTTTCTCATTTTAATCCTTTTCACTCGGATATGGACGATAGGGTGCCAAACATTCTGATACTCTGTATTATTGGCAGAATTTTGGAACTAGGATTTGGCAAAGAAATAGAGGAGATACTGGAAGTTTTAGGGTCTAGACAAGCTGGCTCTACTGACATGGGAATTGAACATTCAAGTATCTCTAATGGCCAGAGGCAAAATCTGCTATTATCGGCTACATTAAATGACAAAGTGAATCATCTTGCTCAAATCAGTTTGGAAAGTCCAGTTTTGATTGGCCTTGAGGATGACAAGAGAGTTCATGTGGATCCCTCACTGGCGCGTCATAAACTGTTAGGATCAGATGATGATGCTGATGATGATAATGATAATGATAATGATCTTCCGAGAAGCTCATCAGCTAAAGACTACAATTTACCGGCGCAGGTTGTTCAAAAGTATGTGAAAGGTATGTCTTGCTTCCTATAATCTTGTTGTGTACATGTGGCTGGATGCTCGGTGTGCCAATTGTATTCAATGACTTCTATGCAGTTCCCTGTGGTGCAAGGCTTTCGGTGCTGCTATCCATTCTTAAACATCTCTTTGAAAGAGAAGCCTCATATAAGGTGTGGCTAGTTTATTTCTATCACAATATTTGAATTTTATGTATTTGATGTTCCATGTGATGTTAGTCCGCATTGCTTTTAATTTTACACATGGGAACTGTCACTCCATTCATTCTAATTCAATTGCAATATCCCTCTCGATCATTCTTCTTCTCTTTTGTTCCCATTATCCTACAATAAACTTCAAGTTCAACCTTGTGTTGGCTGAAACTTAGAGAAATAGTTATGCACTTGAATAATGCATAGCAGGCTTGTTATCAGTCAACCACAAATAAAAAAAAACTAAGCTAATCTTCTTGAACTATTCATAAATAATACATGCAATTATGATATGCTATTGTGTATATCATTTGACATTTGTAACGTCAATATTGGAGCATCATGAGTGGATTTGTGCTTTCCGTAATCAAAAGACCATCTCACCACCACCACCACAAAATGTCTTTCTTTCTCTGTTCAAATCTTATATTCATGTGAAAATTATGTCAATGTACCTTTCTTAACTTGTTGATATCTCTTATGTCATTTCACAGATAGTGGTGTTCTTTTCAACGTGTGATGCAGTAGATTTTCACTATTCTCTGTTGAGTGGGTTCTGCTGGTCAGAATCTGGTACAGAACTCAAGAAGGAGAAGTTCTTGAAATGCAAAACTTTTCGATTGCATGGAAGCATGGAACAGGAAGATCGAAGAACAACATTTCAGTCTTTCAAAACCGAGAAATCAGCTCTTCTTTTATCGACAGATGTTGCTTCCAGAGGCTTGGATTTCCCTAAGGTCAGATGTATTATACAGTATGATTCTCCTGGAGATGCTACCGAATATGTTCATAGGTAATAGATCTAGACTTATTTTACCATGGATTTTTTTAGCTCTTTGTTATTTCCCTTTTCCACCATGTTCAGAGCATGATTGTATATGTCTTTATCCGTATTGCAGGGTTGGCAGAACTGCCAGGTTAGGAGAGAAAGGAGATTCTATACTATTTATGCAGCCTGTAGAAGTAGATTATTTGAAGGAGTTGGAAACCCATGGAGTATCACTTACAGAGTATCCGATTGTCAAGATACTGGATAGTTTCCCCTTGTATGGTCAGACACCACGTGGAGGAAAGAAGTCGGTGTTCTTAGATTTACACCCTTGGCTATTAGCTCTGCAGAGGGCACTTGAATCATTTGTCACAACTGAGGTAATTGTTTCCCTTCATGGATCACTTGAATCATTAGGAACATTTGTCCCTTCTCCATGGACAACGGCTTGCTTTTTTTGTTTATTGCTTTTTGTCCCCATGTTTCAATCAGCCAAAGGTGAATATACTAGCCCAAAATGCATTTTGCTCTTGGGTCCGCGCATACACAGCGCACCGTGGAGAGCTCAAAAGGATATTCATGGTTAAGAAGCTTCACCTGGGGCATGTTGCCAAAAGCTTTGCTCTGAAGCAACAGCCTTCCCTTGTTGGGGGGTCTCACTCCAAGAAGTTGAAGAAGGATCAGAAGCAGAGAGGCCTGGCTAAGCGAAGGAAGGTTGGTTCTGGTAGAAAATGAGAACCCCAAAGCCTTGTGATAGCTCTCAAATTTTGCTTGGTGAAGGATACCTAGTACAACAGATTTTGGAGTTATGATAGTGAAAAACTACTGGCTTGTTGTTTAGAGATGTGCTGTTGAATTAGTTCATATTATGTCCATGTAAAAACTGTATACGTAGTTTTGGCCGCTTGGAGCGATTGCAGATGTTCCACAAAAGCTGAGGCAACCAATTTTGTTTTTAGGGCAAAATCTCCTGTTTGAATCACAAGTACCGAGTAGGAAGACCCATTCTTAACACTTCTCTGCTAACACTCTTGATAAATTCAGGGTTGCTCAGTTGCTCTGTTCCACCATAGATCATTTTTAGGCATCACGCTATCCATCGTAACCAATGTAGTCAAAAGCGAGTTTCTACGTAGAAACGTTTTGGTGATCTAGAAGCGTAAAATTGTAAGTTTTTAAGTTTTAAAGCGGAGTTTTTAATTACATAAGTTATAAAAACTGAGATTTTGTATAGAAGCGTTTTAGTGACCTAGAAACGTAAAATCGTAAGTTTTTATGTTTTAAAGAGTGATTTTAACTACATTGATAGTAACACTATGTTTAAAGAACACAATCACCTCGTAGTATCATGTCATTCAAAGTGTCGTTGATTTAAACTGTTAAGGTTCGGACCTTTAAGTGAAAGGTGTATTTGGCATTATATCAATGATATCATTGAATGTTCTGGGATGCATTTACTTACTGTTGAAGCATCCCTGTTTGGTATTCCACTTCAGATTACATATGACTACTGATGAAGCTTTACTAGGCATTTGACAAAATCCTGCTAGAAGTTCAGAAATTAAAACCAAGCAGAGCGAAGCTAAAAAAAACTGAACTGTGAATTGGGCAGGGGCCGCGCGAACGCAGGCCCCCTCAGCAACAAATTATGACGTAGGCTCTCCCACATTGGGGAGACCTTAACCCAGCGCCCCTCCACAATGTGCAATGGAGGTCACTAGCCTAGACCACAAGCCTTTATGATCGCCCGTAGATCCCGTCCAGGTAAGTATGTTGTGAAGTAGCACTTACCATTGAGTTTATACTTCTTTCTCCTTCTGAGATTCCATGCGTTGTCCATGTGGTATTCACACTCCTGCCTCTCTTCTCTAAACCATGTATCATCCACCCAATTTGTGTGTGCAATCAAAAGCTTCCTACGGCCTCATCTCATCACTGC